ACAAAAATATTCTAAAGATCTTATTGAGCGTTCAGTTTATCTCCCGGCTTTTGAATATAACTTCCATTCCTCTGTGTTCTCCTTCTTTCTGTCATAATCTCTTTGGATAAAGATTCTTCCTCTGAGATTGTTAAAATTGAGTTCAACATTCTTTGGGAAGAGCTGCTTTGCATGAATGTATTTCATTTTATACGGATGGCTTCAAAATATTAATAATACATCTGCAGTTAATACATCGGAGCGGGTATTTATTCCAGATTTTAATCTCAGTTTAATGCATCGCCTTCTCTCTTAACCATTTGTTTTCACCGAAGCATGGACCATCCTTCAAACCATTTTATCACCAAAGATATTCCGTAAAATAAATTTGTCATTTTTTTGGACTCTATGTCTGTTTTAGAAGCTATTGCTTCGCCTAATATTCTTAACCAATTATCTAATCTATCAAATCAAACACCTATTTACTACCAACGAATCCGGAAAAGTTTATTCGTTTAGTATAGATTCCTTTTAGGATGGACACAAAGGTATTCACGGGAATGAAAAAATTGATGATCTTGCTAAATCTGCTTCTATTTATGGATATAAATCACCTTTTTTGCCTTACATGGATTATCAAGCGAATTCCAATGCTTCTTGTAAGAATTTGCTTCGCGCGCATCTTGAAGAATTCAGAATTAAAAGCCAATTATATGAAGAATATTATTTTAATAGCAATGAAATTCTGGTTTCTGTCTCTCAAGAGAGAAGAAATTGTCCTTATTAACAGAATTTATTCGAATAATTACAATTTAAATTACAGTCTGCACCGAAAAAAATTTTGTCAATTCCTATCCTTGTGATCCAAGACAAGATATTAATCACGTTGTCTTTTTTATTGTCCGCTGTTTACTCCTAAATCAGGCCTTTTAAGATCTTTTAGAAAAAAATTTCCCTTCTGCTCCCAATGATTTGCATTTTATCTTAAAACGTTCTTCCGCTGCCCTTTGACGTCTTCTCTTAGCTCACTTTAAATCTATCGATCTTTCCCCTTCGACACAAATTTTTGTCTCCATTGATATGTATTGGCACGAATTCTTTTAATTATCAATCAGCCTTAGCTGTAATTATCAATCAGCTAATATCTTAGAGCCCTCTAGTAGCTGTTTTGTTTCTGGCCGAATCTACTTCATCGAAGAAGTAGTGGTCATCTTGTCAAGAAGAAGAAGAAGAATCAAATTCGACGTCGATCCGACGTCGAATTTCCATTATCATTTTTCATTGAGTTGGGAAAAGAAAGGCAACGTATAAGGGATAGTAAGTACTTTTATATACGGTAAATATAGCGCGCGAGGTGAGGATGGCGAACCGCGCCCGGTTAAACTCACGTAACATTATCTCGGTGAACCTTTATTCGGCATAATGTTATTAATGTATAATAATAATTACATAATGTATTATCAATCATATTTGATAGCACGTAATCACATTTTAATTAAACAATATTACTTTCAATATTGATTTCTTTTGATATCTTACATAAAAAATAACATAAAAATTTCTTTCATAAAAATTGTGTGGCATAAACATTGCAAGTCTCCAATTATAATACTTTCACAGGATCACAGCAATTATTGGATATTTCTCAGCAACGGAACAGTTATACTATATGATACAGTAATACACAATTGATTTGTAACTAAAATGTTGCTACCTTTTTTATTTTTTACTGTCAAAATATAATAAAGAAAAAAGTCTATATCTTACCTAAATCCGAATATATTTAAATACAATCTCTTTTATCGAAGTATCATTCCCAGAAAAATAAATGGCAATGAAATAGGGTAATTTCGATATATACCGTATCTAACAAAAACATAGTAAATATTTACCTTTTTACCTTAAACATAGTAAATAATACTTAATTTATTAAAAATAAGAATTTTTGATATTTTTTTATAATAGTAAACAATACAAAGTTTTTTACAGATATAGTTCATTTACCTTAAACATAATAAAAAATATTTAATTTATTAAGTATTACTTACTATGTTTAAAATAAATGAACTATACCAGTAAAAACTTTGTACTATCTACTATGAAACAAATGGTAAGTACATTCGTATGAAAAAAATATTTAAAAAAATATTAAAAATCCAAAATACTTATTTTTCGTAGAACTTTTTTTAAAATCCTTATATTTTTGCTGCATGAGATGTACAACTCATGAAAAATTTATAAATAATACTTAGAAATAAAACATAAAATGACACAATAACTTATAAAATGTATTTATAAAGTTTTATTAAAGAATAAGAATGATAAATATACATATATATATACATATGAGGTAATAGATAATTATAATCAGCATCCCAACTGCATCAATGTTACTTTGACTTTAACCAAGATTTAAAACTTTATCTGTCTTGTTTTAAAATCAAAAAGAAACAGAAAAAGTTTTAAGCCTCTTAAAATCAAACGTACAATCAAGCCTTAATGCACTGAATTCAATCTGCGCACTTTATATACTTTGGACATAAATCTCGCTAAAAATGTCATATATCCTCCTCTCCTCCCAAATGGAATATACAAGACATCAAGCTAAACAAAGAATATAAGAGCTGAGCACTTGTATTTGCTATATTCCATTCTTTACACTTTTTTTATTACAATTTTTACACTTATGTATCATCAAATAATCATTGAGCTTTTTGTAATCTCTACATCATTTTATGGGATATATTTTATATATTGCGCTACTCACTACATTGATAAAGAGATTCAACTGACAGCAATTTTATTAATATTAATAGTAGAAACTGAAATTATATCACAACAATAATATAATAACATAATGACATGATGATATATAACGATTAATATAACGGAATGGTTGCTTGCAAATTATCCCTACTCCTTCTAACTTTTTTCTAACTTCTGCAGCGTAAATCTCAGCGCGGCGCAAATATCTGGAGACACTGGTACTGTCTCGGCGCTAAGCATGACGCGAGATACTGCCGTGCCTCCTTTACGCGAGCCGGCGAGTTGTGCCAGATCAAGTCGGAGTTATCTTATAAAAATTTGATATTTCATGAAGTGATATACAATAAAAAATTTTTGCAATAAGTGAATTTAGATACAACGCTAAAATCATGTTATCCTTTTCTTAATTAGTTGTTAAGAAAAAGATAACTTGACCTTAGCGTTCACCGTATCTGGATAAACGGTATTGCAAAAATTCTCTAATAATGATGACAGTCGAACACATTTTAACTGTATATATCTCAAATGGAAAACAGTATTAAAGTCTACATTTAATGTGTGTATATATATATATATATATGTACACATGTA